TTCTCTAAGCGGTTTATAATTTTTTTAGCAAATTGAGTCAGCAACTTGCCCCCACAGTCTGGGTCCTCACTTCAACCACCTTGGAAGAATGGAAGGCTGAGTCAACCTTGAGCCGGTGAGATTTGAACCACTGAACTGCAGATCACAGTCAGCTGAAGTGGCCTGCAGTACTGCACCCTAACCACTGCGCCACCTCGGCTCATTGAAGTGGTTGAAAAGCAGATGAAACCAGAAAAATTTCCAAGAATCCCTAGCATTGGCCACATAGAGCCAGGAATCCTGGTAAGACAGCTAGTTGGGAATTTTTTAGCAATGAGGTATATACAGGTCATCCTCAATTATGACAACAGGGACCAGAAAATTCATTGTTAAGCAGAGTGGATAATTAAGTGAAGCATCACATAAAACAGCTGATCACCTTTCTGCCCACTGTCATTAAGTGAATTACCTCTGGTCATTAAGTGAGATGCCATGTGACCAGAACCTGTGACCTCTTGATTCTGGCTTCCCCATTGACTTTGCTTATCGAAGCCAGTGGGAATGACGCAAATGGTAACACACGGCTGCAGGATGTTGCAAGGGTTACGTGCGAGATTGTGACCAACACTCAGATTGTGATTATGAGATTATGAGATTGTGGGGAAACTGCAACGGTTGTTAAAGGCAAGGAATGGGTGACAAGTCAGTTCTTTCAGTGCAATCCTAACTTCGAGCAGTTACTAAACAAATGCTTGTTAAATGAGGACTATCTGTACAGGTAATTCTTGACTTAAAACAGTTCATTTCCTGACCGTTCCAAGTTACAACGGCACTGAAAAAAAGTGACTTATGGCCATTTTTTACAATTATGACTATCTTACTTCCTGACAACTTCCTGGATTTTTCTAGAGAGAGTAGAGGAAGCGAACTTGTTCCTTTCCCAACTTGTACACAGAAATCAACACTGCTGGCAAAGGGATCAAAATCCATTTCTAGGTCATTTTTCAACAAAAAGCCGGTAATATAAAACGTGGGCTGCTAATTTTGGTGGTTTATTTACAATGGCAGGAAGTGAGAAGCACAGTAACTCAGTTGCAGCCATGATTGTAATCACATCTTGGACACAGGAATGGGGCAAGGCTTCAGTTACAAAAAAAAAATATGACAAATTTATTACTTTGCCTTTTTACTTTCAGAAGCAGGGAAAAACTTAATTGAAAGAGATGACAAGCGATGAGTATAGCCCAGGAAACGAGGATGACTTTTTTTGTGACCATGATCCAAAATATTACAAAACAACCAATGACAAGGTTCTTAAGGGGGGAAAAAAATGCAAGATTGAGCAGACAGTAGAAGAAAATGAACCCCTTAAACAGTGAACAATCACAATCAATATTTAAAGTTATCATTAGAAGGGAGAGGTTTTCTTATCAGCAGGAAGATCAGTCCGGTACTTTCTTAGTTACTGGAAAACTGTGTATGAGTAGAGATTGCCTTCAGATGTACCAAAATCAAGAGAGAAACAAGGATGGAAGGATTTATTTATCTATGTAAGTATTCAACCTCCCTATGGCAGGAAGAGGTGAAGCAGATACATGAAGATCCTTCTGGGTTAAATTCTGACTGGACTGTTCATACCTGCCAGCTACAAGAGTGTCCGTATTAAAACATGCAATGCTCATTATGATGCATGCAGTGCATTGCATGCTCAGAGAATGCAGTGGGATTCTTGAGTTGCAGTTGTTATCCAGAAACCAGTTTAGGTTAGGTTTATTGGGATTTATATGCCGCCCTTTTCCCTGAGGGGACTCAGGGCGGCTTACAACCACAG